GAGTTTTATATATATATATATATATATATATATATATATATATATATACACACACACAATCGATATGAATATTTGTTTTCTTTTTATGTGAAAGCATGGAGATTGGACTTCATAAAATGACCAACTTTGAGCTGTTAAACGATTTCCATCTCTGCTTTTTTGTTTCTCTTGCTAACGGACTTATTATCATAAATGTAATAACGTAAAGGCTTATTGGCCCATTCTGGATCGCAGCTATTGATTCCAATCCTAGCGGATTTTACAATTTTAATATCCCTTAACGCACGATCGTCCTCGATCCATAAATTCTTCCATGTACAGAGAGAGTACTTGCTATGCTGCTTGTTAAGCTGATACGCCATGCAGAGCTTCGAAGGACCGTTGCATAGTTCATGTGGTTTTAGATTGCCTTTCCTCGTTTTCGAAGTGTTACGCTGATAAGCCATGTGATCCATGCCTTCTATGGGATCGACAGCTCGCACCAGCACTGCGCATCCATCACCTTACCAATAATGAGGTGAATCTTTCGATGTAAAGGAATCTATTCTTCTAAATTTCTATTCAAGAATATACTTCTAGGTTTATGTAAAATATATTTTTTTCATGTACAACAACTTTAATTTGCATCAGTGCACTAGAGAAATGTCTCCGAATTTGGTATAAAATTAGTTTCGATCCTAAACTTCCAACATTTTGAAATCTGTTAAACGCGCACATTATGGGATTAAAAATTTATGATTTTAGATTAATGATATAATTCAAAATGATATAATTCAAAATAATACGAAAAATCAAACATTCAGAATTATAATTATTAATTTGATTAAATATATTTATTTAATTTTTTAACAATTAACTTTTTGTTGAGTACAATATTTGTCAATATAAAGAGAACTTTTTTGCATTCAATATTTATTAATATTTTTAAAAATCTGCTAAATGCGCACGTTAAAATTAAGATTCATAATTTCACGAATTCTTTAATAATTGAAAATCTTTTACTTCTTAAGAATATATTTTTGTAGACAAAGAAAAACTTGAAATTATGCACATACACTTAAATGTAGAAAGTTCCGTGTATTTATGTATTTATAGACCCGTATTCAGAACGCGCTTTTATCTTTGAAATTCTATAATATGCATAATGTAAATTATAGCATGTTAGCTAACATCGTTGTAAACGCGTTCTGAATACGGGCCATAAAATTCAATTTATTGTGCAATGTAAGCGAGTTTCTCGCACTCAGAATTCTTTTCGTCGACGCTGGCACTTCCCAGCACGTAATATCGTGTCTTTATAACATAACTATCATCCGATTTAAGATTTTTAGATGGTATGGCTACTATAGTAGGAGGTCTTACAAAAGGTTGGCTCTCGAGCCACAAATTATTACACGCATAAACGAATTTCCGATCGAAAGAGTTTTGGTCGATTGCAAAGGCATCACAAATCTTGAAGGGATTATTGCAAAGTTTGTATTGTTTTAGGTGCGTCGCAAGTCTCGCGGTTTGTTTTTCTCTTCCGTTATCTTTCCATCGCATATTTTTTAGCAATTCCATATACTTGAGGCCCATTAGCGGTTCCACCGCTTTGATTAATACATGCGCATTTCCTTCTAAACGTTATTTAGTATTGTAATACTAAATAATAACAACTAACATATCAATTGATTTTTTTTTCAACTAAAAATATATTTCGAAATTATGAAAACGCGATATCCTCTGTCTAAACAGATTTATTATAATCTTCCTGTTTTTGCTATACATTAGGGGATAGTATCTTTTGCTTTAATTTATTTTTATGGCTTTTATTATTTTCAACGATTGTATGTTAGTGGAAGTAGGCTGTATTTTAATTCTACATAAAAGAATGAAATAAATCGATTTTTTACTCACCTTGACTAGAAATATTGAAGCAATGGTACATGCCATATGTCATGTAAATATAAATAGTTCCTGGTGGCATGTACATTGGCAAGTTGCGAGATGTAACTTTGTTCTGATAAGAATGTGAAGCCTTGTCCATTGTACCTAAATATCCTTCAGTTTCTACAATTCTACCCTTGAGGATAGTTCCATTCTCGAGATATCTTACAAGTATTTTTCCTATCGGAAAAGGATACTTTTTTTTTAACGAGTACATAATTTTTTTGTATTGTAGCAATATAATAAAACAGAATAATAGAAAGGAAGGTATAGAATACTTTTTAAGTAATGCCACATAATATTTTTTTTTAAATAAAAATAAATTTTT